CAAGGATGGAGAGCGCATGCATGGCTATATCTGGCCCTTGGAGGCTGGTTTCTAGCAGGCAGGTTTGTGTCACCTTCTCAAGCTGCTGCCCCACCACAGTGTCCCCTGGGAGGATCTCTGTCCCACCTGCAAATGGAGTAAGAGAATAAACAGTTACCAGGTGCTTGCAACCATTAAACAGGTCAGGGGAAAGGTGCATTTGAGAGATTTATAGAAAAACAGGTTGTAATCAGCTGGGAAATCAGGGTGGGACTTTAAACTACAGCCACCTGTAGTCAATCTGCTGGTTTACCCTGCCCCAGCTTACCTAAAGCAGCGCTTTCCAAGGGCTTTTTTTCAGCTCTCTTCTCTGAGGTCCATGAGGCTGTCTGCAGAGCTAAGAGGTCACTGACAGGAGCTGGGTCAAGTCCACCCAGATGTTGGTTTTTGGCAAGAGCAGAGAGACGTCTGTGTAGTTGGGCTCCTGCCGCTGCCTTGTTTGTGATCTTGGCCATGGGGCTTAGCTGGGATTTGTTCCTCATGCAAAGGGGGAAGGAATTTTGCTTTGGGGATCGTGGGGTTTTTCGTAGGTGATACCTCATGTCCCGTTGTGCCTTGGGGTTCACATGCACGGGCAAGCTGGGTATTGGACATCAGAGGTCATTTACAGAACCTCAAATTAGTTTTCACAGATTTTTCTGGTCACATGTAGGAAGAGGTTTTAGGGGGCTGCTTTGAGGATAGAGAGACAACCGAATGTTTGGAGATTTTATTGCAGCATCCGTGTTGATGGGAAGGGGTCTCAGGAGTCCCACTACCCCACTTGTGGCAGGATGACCCCTACTATCAGGTTGGTCCCACCTGGAGGACCATTGATGATGGAGCTCCCCACCTGCTGGGTGCCTGTCCTAGGGCTGCACCATCCTCTGGGCAAGAAGCCTTCTGTCAGTTGGCACAGCTAAGGACAAGCGTAGCTCCACTACGTTTGTAATTGCCCCTCCAGCAGCTTTAGGCTGCAGCGAGACACCTTTGGATCTCCTTTTGTCCAGACTGACTCGGGCCAGCTCCTTGGTGCTGCTCTTCAGATCCTCCAGTCTGACTTCTGCCATTCTCCTTGGCCTGTTTAGCCCATCTGTCCCCAAAGAAGCCTGAGATGGCCCTGGGGACAGCAGTCACCTGCCAGGCAGCTCCGAACCCCTTGCACCAACCACCATGTGGCTGCACCAACCCAATGTGCCCACAGAGGGTCTGGTTTGCAGAGGCCAGCGAAACCATTTGGGTTCCTCCGGGTCCTAGTCCTTTTGCGGCTATTTAATCGTGAGAGCTGTGGGACGTGTCCCACGGGGACACGGTGGCACCGCAGCCCGGCGCGGCACAGCCCACGTGGGACATGTGTCAGCCTTGCCCATCCACAGCTATGTGTGAACCTCAGACAGACACTTTACACCTTGGGCTGAGGCTGTGGGAACAGCATGAGATTCATTTTCAAGAGTGCGCCATGTCTATTATTAATGTTATGAATGTGTTCATAGCTCGCAATTATTTTAATCAATTTAGCATTGTGATACCGGCTATAGAGATGGACAAACGGAGGCCCGTGGCATCACCACGGAGGTAAGTGGAACTGCCGGGAGCATAAGGGCTCTGAGCTTAGTCTTCTCAAGCATGTGCAGCGCCGCAGGAGATGCAAAACGCCTCCCTTCTTGCCGCAAAGCCTTTCCCTTGAGCGGTTTCAGGAGCAGGACAGAAAAACCGGCACGTAGCTAAAACGGAGCAGGTTTCCTCTCTGCATCTCGTCGAGGGGGGAGTGAAGTCGCCTTCCCCGCCTCTAGCACCCACAAACCCTCCGGAGAGCAGCAGCGTCGGGCAGGAGGTTTCTCCTCCCAGCCGTGCGCTCCGGTCCTGCCCGGAGCCGGGCGGCGCATACGGATCCTGGGAAGCGGGAGCTGGTTCAAGTGGGACCCAAATGTCTCTTCTCAGCCTCCCTTTGAGCCCGTGGGCACTGGGTACTGGGCACAACACTGCACCAGAGGGAGCAGGCAGGGGATTGATTAACAGATATTAACTAATATATCAACTGATTAACAGATATTATGTTACTTTCAGAAGGAAACATCTCTCTTAGACTTTGCTTTTGAGGTCCCTTGTGTGATTAAACATTAAACATCTAGAGAGTCCACCACCGTAGAGGAGGTGGCCAGCACCTACCCCTGCCGTGTGCCATGTTCCCCGATCATCAGAGAAACCAGGAGCAGAGCTCTTTGAAGAGAAAAGAAGGGCCATTTTCACGATGATTGTGGATGTCCAGCCCTTCTCCGCGCGGGACACTTTGTAAAATAAAACTAAGGGACTCGTGGATAAGTCCTTGGCAGCCTGGCCAACACACACATGACCTTCCCACTTGCAGAACACGTGGCCAAAAGCCTGAGCGAGGGACTCGGCTGCCCCGGCAGCCTCGGGGCCATGGTGCACGGCGGTGCGATGAGCCCAAGGAAGCGTCTTGGCGAGCAAGAAGACGGGGATGAGGAGGTTGAGGAGGTCTGGCCTCGTGGCAACGTTTCCTCTTCTCGCTGCCTTCCCGTCAGGGTTCCCTTCGGCCTCGGGGCCGCGTGTCACGGCGCGAAGCCAGGCGCTGCGCAGAGGGCAGCCCGGGACACTGCGTCTGCGCCATCTCCGCTCGAACGTCCAAGGCAGCTCCTCCGTCACGCGGGTAGCAAGGGGGATTAGCAAACGTGGGGAGAGAGGGCGAGAGCTAAACACAGTGTCATCTTGGAAAAGGCTGCTCTATCCATCCTGCGTTGGCCTGGGTGGGCAGGGGAGCGGGAGGGCGATGTCGGTGGCAATGCAAGGCCCCAGGGTCCCCCCCAGCGATGCTGGCCCTCCTGCAGCCCGGGGAGGACAAGAGCCACCGCGGAATTGCTTTGACCGGCGCGCTCAGAAGAATTTGCTAATGCTGGTGCGTCAGACGCCCAGCCTGAAAGATCGCAGCTCACGATTCAAGTTTGGCAACGCTCTGAAGCCTGCGGGGAGCGAAGCGTCCTGGCGTGGGAAGCGCTGGTCCTGGAGACGAGCGCTACTTCTGCTCCGCTTTGACCCTGCCGCGCAAGCGGCAGCGAGTCCCGATTCGCCCAAGCTCCCGCTCGCTGCGGCTGCGCGAAGGCGCCCGTGGGCCCGGGGCTGTGATGGGCCCGGGGCTGTGATGACATCCACAATGCAGGGGTGACCCCCAGATCCCAAATTGAATGGGGCCCTTGGCGCAAGTTCGCCGGCTACTTGGACGATGCCATCTCCCCAGGGTCCCTTCCCAGGAATACTTCATTTTGGGGATGGGAATTACAGTCTGAAAAATTCCAGCCTCAGCCGGGACCAACACGCGAACGCAGGGGCCGTGATGGAAACTGTTTTGCAACTGCAATGATTTTACCCCATGGCTGGCAGTGCCTCTAGTGCTGTCATCTCAGCCAGTTTCCTTGGGGACACCCAGGCCCCCTGCGATCTCCCGTTATCCCTTCGCTTAGGGCTGCTCCTGAAGCCACCCGCGAGCCCGGGGCCTGGCGAGCCCCCCACGCGCCCTGCCCGCCGGGTCCCGCACCCGGCTGATTTATAGGCTTGCGCTTGGGTATGTTTACGCCAGGCGAGTTCTTTAAACCGAGGAGAGCCAGCGGAGCTGGGTTTTGTTTAAAGTCCGGCGAGGAGATTTGCCTTAAATAGTCAAGAGCGGAGACTGGAGAGGAGGCCGCGCGGCTGCCGCGCAGACCTCCGGGGTGGGAGCCGACGGGCACCGGCGAGGGGGGAGCTGGGTCCCAGTAGAGGAGGTGGCAGCAGGTTTAACCCTTGGAGACCCTGGATCCTCCTGGGAAGGTCACTGACCTCTTCTTTACCACGTAACGAACCGCTCAGGCCTCAGGTCAGCTCCTCGGTATAGAACTGCTCACAACCCCAGTTTTGTGTCGGCCCTTGGCGCTGGGAACACGTTTCGCCTCTGTGACATCCAGGAAGGGAATGGCTGATATGTCTGAAACGGTGCGCTGAGGAGAAACGTTTGGCAGCCAGGCTGTGCCAGTGGTTGTTCACTCTGAACCCTAAGGACAGAAATGCCAAAAGCTGCTGTTGGGACAGGTTCAGAGCCACCCACTCCATGCCAACACCTCTATGCCCTGCAGAAAGCTATCCACGACCCAGCACAGCCCCAAGTACAACCTCCCCCCAGCCAAAACCAGCTGTCCCCTCCAGAGCCCTCAAGAAGCTCAAGGGCTTCCCGTCACAGGCTGAACACAGAGCATCGCACAGGGGCACCCCACAAGCTCACACGCTATAAATAAACACGAGGTTGATAGAAGGGACACGGGAGAGCTATTTTAACTTGAGGGTGATGCTGGCACAAACACACGCTGCATAAACTCTTCCCGCTCCTGGGGCCGGGATGAAGTGTTCGGAGCCGTTTAGAGCAGTTTGCTGCTGGCTGCAGAGCTCGCTGACAAGTATTTCAGAGCAAGGGCCACCCAACGGAGGTGGCAGCAGCTGAGCACCTGCTAGGTGACCTACGTAGCTTGGAAGCGAGACCAGTCATTGGTGGCATCAAACGCAGCGCCAAGCTTGTCCTCCTGGAGCTGATCCTGCCCGTGCCTGGAATGGCTCTTCTCCTGTCGGAGGGCTTATGTGCTGTCCCAGGGCCACCCGTGTTTGTACCTGCAGGTCTCAAGCTCAGGGGCTGCACTGAGCTTGGATGTGGAGAAGGGAGATGTTTTCCACCAGCAGATCTTCCCCACGGCTTGGTCCCTTTGGAGTAAGCAGGATCGCTGCTTGGGCTACAGGAGAGGGCACCATCCTGGCAAAGCCGCTCCAAGCGCCAGCCTGCAGCGCTGCAGTCCTCTCTGGACTATGATGGGAGGAAGCTGATGGCAGAGATGGACGAAGGATGGGTTGAGCATGAGATCTGCAAACGTTTTCAGCCCTGAATCATGACGAGGCCACCCAAACCAGCCGCACACCCAAATCCCCTAAGCCTGAGAGCAGCCCCGATGGACGCTGGCGTCAGGCAGGGGCCGGCCAAGGCCGTGGGCCGAGCCGCCGCCACAGGGGCCGCAGATAAAGAGACAGATAAAAGCGCCGGCTGGACCCGCGGCTACCGTAAAAGGGCCGGGCTGTCAATGGGGCCGGCCTGGCTTGTCTCAGCGCGGCAGGGAGATGGGCAGAGGGCTCGGAGCGGGCGCCAGGGCCCGTTGGGGGACGGCTCCGGCCTGCAGCCGCCCCACTGCCCTGGAGAGCCGGCAGCTCGCGCCGAGCAGGGAGGCCCCGCTGTCTTCACCGCGCTCCCGCCTCCAGATCCTCCCTCGGCACCCAGCTCCAGCCCTGCCGCGAGCTGACAACGTCCAGGCGCCCGCGCACGGCGCCCGGCCCCATCACCGGGACCGCCGGGCGGGCAGCCCTCGCCCCGGCACGCCGGGCGCGCTGCAGCAGGCTGCTGGCCGCGATCAAATATTCATGGCCCTGCGTGGTAAATAATCATTACGAATTCATGACTCGCTGAATTAAAGAGGCTCTGCGCCGGGCCGGCTGTGGCGCGGCGGGGCGGAAGGAGCAGCGGCCGCGCCGGAGGCACCGCTGGGTGCTGGCGTGGGATGGAGCGGGCGGCCGGGTGCCCCATGGGTGCCGAATGGCGCAGCAAGATCTCACACTAGTTTGTTTGGCCAGGGTGGAACACTCCTTTTGCACGGGCAGCCACGGGCTCTCCAGCGCCACTCCAGCACTCCTGCTCCGCTCGGAGCCAGCCGGGCTCTTTCGCCGTGGCTAAATTTAGCCCCCTCCCCAGTTATGAGTTCGCATTGGGGCGCTCGCGGCTCCTCTGCCTCCGCGCCCTGCGAGGGGACAGGAAGTTCCCACATGGACTCGGACTCGCAGCCCGGGCTGGGAGCGGCTGCTTTCACACGGGATGGGACGGGACGGGACGGGACGGCAGCGCGGCTGCACCCCCTGAGGCCGCCCCAGCCTCGCGGCACCAGCGAGGTTAAGTTTGGCTTGTGTCCATCACCCCAGGAGCTTCAAACCCCGTCCGTGGAGATGCTAAAGGGATGGGGCGCCGCGCGCAGCCACTCGCACGCTGCAGCGCTGCAACTCGCACGCAGGAGGAACCTGCTCCTTGTGAAACAGTGACCCCAACCGAGAGGAAACGGCTCCTGCCGCCTCTCTCTCCTCTTGTATTTTAATAGATATCCTTCCAGCCCCCAATTTCATGTGTTGGCAGGTGGGGTTTCCACATACGTGATCACGTTGTTCTCTTTCTCCCCTGTTTCTGCTGGCAGCAGCTGTGAGACACGGAGCCCGGGACTTCCTGGCACCCCTCTGGGATCGGGAATGCTCCTGGCCCGTTCCTGCCATCTGCACCCCTGCACTCACAAACAGATCCTGCAAGGGTTGCTATAAACACCCCAAAAGGAGGAAAAAGCAGCCAGGACAACTCACGGCACCCCATCGCCTCCTAAAAATGCAAAAGCGCAGGATTTTCCTCCTTGGCAAGCTCCCTATCCAGCATGGTCCCCGGCGCGTGGGAGGACACTGCCATCCCGCGGTTGCAGCGCTCCCGGGGACGGTGCCACCCGGCACCCTGCGTTGCCAGCACCCCGGTCTGCCTCCCGCAGGCTTGCAGAGCAAAGCCAGCAGAGCCCCTGCTTCTCTGCCTGGCTCCAAGAGCAAATTCCGCTTTAAAACTTCCCTCTCTCTGTGCATTTTGCCTCGGCTTTGCACCCTTTCCTTTCCCCTTCTGAATCAAGTCCTGGGATCCAGACCGGTGTGAGAAGAGCGAGATGGAAATGCCTAAAGCAAAACAGGTCGGACACCTCCTAAAAAAAGCAGGGATGTTGAGCTAAGCACGCGGTGACACGCGTGGGGCAGCACCGTGGCCACGTGCCCGGGGGGCAGTTAGGGCTGGAGAACTGCCCCAGGAATTCTCCCAGGAATTGCCCCAGGAATTCCTGGGGGAAGGGCTAACTCCAAAATGCAGCATTTTAGATTCCCAAGGGATTCGCAAGCCAGGCAGCGCTTTGTGCTAGCGGCAGCAGAGAGGCGAAGGGCGCAAAGAGGGGCGCAGAGCGCCCGCCTGGAGGGGGCTGGCTGGCCCCAGTGGGTGACACACCACGCTCTGGTGACGACGCCAGCCGTGTGCGACACGTGCGGCTCCGTCCCCGCGGGGCTCCTCACCCGGCCGAGCAGCGGGATCGTGCCGGGGCGCCACGTTTGGCTCCCGTCCTTGGGCCGGTTCCCACGACCTGCTGCACTTCCTGTGACTCGCAGCCAGCAGAGGCGACGGCGGAAGCAGCGGATCCGCGTGGAACAAGCGCCAAGAGCAGCCCCGGAGCCGGCTCCGGCCTGGGAACGGCCTCTGGGCTGAGTTCCCCTCCGGGCTGGCACCACCAGGCAGGATCCGCTCACACTCCTGAGCTGCTCTGTCTCTCACCCAGCTTGTGTGTGGACACCCTGGGAGAGCAGGAATGCTGCGCTGCTCCGCTGGGAATCTGCGATTAGGACGGAGGAGACTCGAGGTAATTTCTTCTGGGCATCAAGAGTGAGGCTGAGCTCCGAGCGACGTTCCAGTGTCAGCTCCAGCCCAAATCCACACGTGTATGAGCTCCAAGGACTGCAGGTTGCCCCTAAAGAAAAGAATAAAAAAAGGCATTTTTGCCTTTTTGCCTTGGTTTCTTTGGTTTCTCCTTTTCGTGGCTGAGCCCCCAGGATGAATCCAGCAAGAGCTACCTGCAAAACAAAGATGTTTCTGCCCCAAATCCTGGGCAAAGCCACTCAGAGCCCAGACAGACCCTTTTTGTGTCCCACTCTTCACTTCTGTCCTCCCCAAAGCCAAAAGGAGCTTAACCAGCGATTTCTGGGGTTGTTTCAAAGAGAATAATGCAATTTTATAAATTTAATTGCAGATAACATATAATAATTTGGAAACTCTACGCACAGGCAAAGTTTGGTGGTTTTGGAAGAGCCACTAAAACAACGAGTTTCCTAAGTTTATCCCATACGAAGTGATTTAGCTCCCCAGACTTTGACTGAGCAATTTACCTGGAGCACTTGGGAAAATAGCAGTTATAACATAAGAAATGCTGGAATTCCAGGAGACAAGCGCCTATGCCCAGTCACGCTACCAATGCCCAGGCAGGGCAGGGTTAGAGCAGTAAATGGAAAAATCTAGAGCGCCCGTTTCCGGAAAATCAGCACCTTTACGGTTATCACTTGATTAACATTGGGAACATGTGGAAATTGCCAGTTTGAGGCCACATGGACACAGCCCAGAAATGCAGGAAGAGCATTACCTTCTCCAGAGCTTCCCGCAGCATGGGAGAGAGGCAGGATTAGATTTTCGTCTTTCCTGTACACCAGACCTCAGCGGAGGCCTCCAAACCATCCAGTTCCTTAGAACAGGCCCAGACACATTGTCGTGGGGGTGTAGAATTGAGAAAAACAAAAATATTAGAGAAATCGGGTGCGTGGTTTGCCCGGACAGGTCCTTCAGCTCCTTGGCAAAGGCCTACGGATGTACCTGGTTGTGCCTAAGGTTTGAGGGCCCCATTAGAAACACCCCCAGCTCCGTTCATCCCGTGTTCACGCAGGCCTGGACAACACACTGCAGGTACCTGTGTATGCGAAGGAACATGTTTCTTAACACAGTTTTAAACACAATATTTGAATTAAATTCTTAAGCACAATATAATGTCAATGCCAAAACACAACGTGCTTCGCAAATGCTCCCTTTTCCCAAGCTAATGTTTCAAAACATCCTTCCCCTTCCCTTTTATTTTCCCACGGGTACCATCCAGCTCATTCCACCCTCCCAAGCCCCTTGCCATGATTTCTATGTGTTGTTTTTCTGGTCTGTGCCCTGATGCACCCGTATCGCCGCTGCTAAGCTTAAAGCTCAGCAACCCTCCGAAACAATACGTTCCTTGACCTGCTTTTCTCTCATCACTAATTCACCACGAGCAGATTTTCAACTTAGCTCATGCGTGAGCTCTGCAGTGGCAGCCCTTAATGGCTAAATAACAAATTCTGCCAAAGCTCATTTAAAGAGAAAAAAAAAAAAAGAGAGAGATATGGAGGTCAGTAATGTGCCTTAAATCCAACCTCCGGCATCAGACAGGTCTGCCAGGGAAGCAGCTTGGTTTGGAAATACAGAGGTCAGCAGAAAACTGCGTCAGCGCGGGTTGGGATCAAACCCTTTTATTGTTATGGACATGAAGCAGGTAGGAGACACGGGTTAGTGTAGATGAAACTCAAAGGATTAAAGAATAAGAATCTGCGGTGGACACCGTGATTCTGGCCTCACAGCTACACAAATCACCTGGCTTTAGTGATGTTGCCTGTGGCTCGCTAAGAAACACAGGAAGCCAAAATCAGGTGCGGCTCCAGCTGGAACACGGTGCAGACGTGTCGGCACAGGAAGAGCAACCTGGCAGCAGTAAGTGCTGAGAGGGCTGAGCTACAAAAACAAAATTCCCTGGCATTGTTCTTTTTGTTCTTTTGTTTGCTGCTTTTGGTTGCAGAACAAGCCCCTAACTTAGAGCAAGCACAGAAACAGGGATGAAAAGGCTGTTGTTGAAAACATCATTATATTCCCATACACGGATTTAATACAGTTGTTAGGGTATTCTACCCTAGAAAGCTCTGAATGACACATTTCTAAAGGGGTTTAAAATAACTACAGGGTACTAATCACTTGTAAAGCTACCAGCCTTTTCCGATCGTTATTTTGCAACTTCCTTTAGGAATTGTTTTCCTTTAGCCAACACTTCCCAAATGCGGACAGTTTTGCCGTGATTTAAGAGGTACCGAGTCCACCAGCTCCAGCTGGATGTGGCCTCCCTCGCGTGTCCCCAAGCGGGCGGCAGCTTCGCTGCAGCTGTGAGGAGGAGGAGGAGGGCACAGCAGGAATCCCGCGGCGCCGGTGGTCACCACATGCAGAGAAGCTCGAGCCCCGCATTCCTCAGCTGGGGAAAATCCTATCACCACTCTCTGCCGGATCCCCTGATGGAAAATATTAAGAGCTACGTAGCCTGTCAGGGATCATCATAATTAATGAGGACCACTTAGGAGACGTGCAGCAAGCGCTCGCAAGCCTCTAAAGCACAAAGGTTGTAGGCGTCAGCTGTTCCATGTCGAATAACTGATGCGAAGTGCAACGTTTTCTGCCTTTAAAAGAAGGAGCCGGGGGGGGATTGTCAGCCCCCTCCAGAGGCGAAGCACTGGGGAGCCGCAAGCAGCAGCCAGGGAACTTGTCCCTAGCAAACTTTCCGTGGCCTCGGTGGGGACGCGGAGCGCCGCGCAGCAGAGCGCTTCCCGGGGGGATACGAAAATAATATCGTGTACATTCCAGCTTCCCAAACAACAATCGCCTGAGAAGCAGGCAGTGTGGGAAAGTCTCAGCTCGCTTTTCCTGCCTAATATAAATAGACTGACGGCCGCGAGCGGGATTTTAAACGCGGAGGATGGGGGCCATTTAACGGGCTCTGTTTGAACTTGGCCTCTGGCGGGATTCCAGCTTTCTGCAGAGCAGCTGGTCACTTCCCGCCGAGCAAACGTGAGCGTTGCGAGGCTGGGAACCAGGAGCCAAGCGAGCGCTGATGCTCCAGCCCTGGAGTCCACGAGTCTGCTGTGGTATGAGGTGAGCCAGGCCCATTGGAGCGCTCACGCCAAGCCCGGCCGGGCCCATCCAGCCTCCGAATGCCAGCAGAGGCACATGGAGAGCACGGAACCAGGCGAGCAGGTGCGAGGCTGTTCCAGTGCTCCAACGTGCTGGGCCACCCTTGGGGGCTTTGTACCCGAGTGCCTTCAGGGATGTGCCTTCCAGCTTGGGATTTGGCAACGTGCAGCACCCACCACGCTCCGCAGGGCACCGACAGCCTCAGCAGGCTCCAGGGCTCCGGCCTCTACAATCCCAAGCACCTCTGACCCTTTCTTTCCCATATGGATCCTTCCTTTCCCGTATGAGGGCCCCACACGGCTTTGCTGTCATCCACGTTCACTACGTTTCTCCCTTACGTGCTACTCATTTGCTCCTACGGGCTGGTCAGCAGCCTGCAGTTCCTCTGGGCGGCTTTCGAACTACAGCATCCTGTTTTAAGCGGGACATTTCACACCTCGGCCAGCGGGTGAGACCCGCTCGTCGCCTGGCCACACAACACACTGGCCATGAGCTTTATTTACAGCCCACAGGCCTGCGGCTCCTGCCTCCGCGCATCGTCGTGGGGCACAGCGGGTGCCTCACGCACTACAGCAGGGCCCACAGCAGCTGAGGGCCCCTCAGCCCGGCCGCTCGCGCCCAACGGTCCCCAACGGTCCCCAACGCTCCCCAACGGACTGCAAGCCGCCCGCGCCGCGAACGCGCATGCGCGCGCGCGCCCCCTCCCGCGGAGCCGTGACGTCACTGAGGGGGGTGGGGGGTGGGGGGAAGGAGGGGAGCGCAGCGCGCCTGCGCGGCGGCGGG